TCATACAAATAAATTAGGATAGCAAATGATTTCTATAACTACGTACGTTGCTAGACAACGAGCAAATTTCCCCAATTAATACAAATCCTAAACACTGATATGTAAAATCTCTAAAGTTTAAGCACCGGATGCGTACATCTACACATTGGCTGTTAATTGGACAATTATTTTCTCGAATTCAAGCAATGATAACATAAGAAAATACAATCGATCTAACTCAATTTTTCAATTTCATTATATGATATTCGATGTTATAATTTATATAATTGTATATCGATCAAAATATTTTTAAAATATTATAACAAATCTATTCCGTGTATCGCACGGGAGAAAATACTAGTATTGTAAAATAGAGTAATACAATTCCTACAATCATATTCGTAATACAATTCTACATTAAAATTCCTATTCGTAATACAATAGGACAATACAAATAAATCTGGCACTATAAACTATAAATACTAGAAATCTTATAATCTTCTGCCAAAAGGTTGAATCCCCAACCCGACAGAACATGTGGGAGGATGTGACTCAATGATTCAGCAGACAAGGCCAAATGCCGTTGGACATAATTCCCACACTGCCGCCATCAAGGTTCGAACCTTGGTCTCTTCCCCCATATACTACCCACTAAACCATTAAGCTAAGCCCGTGCGGGTAGAAATTTTATAATCTGCCCACACAATTCGACATCTCCCTATAATACTTACTCCATGACTCCCAGGTGAATATTATTATTATAGCTCTACGGTTTATATTACATGTTGCCTTATAATCTTATTAATTTTTTGCATGCTCTACGATTTTTTAATAAAATGCAATAATTCTCTATTCTTATTATTATTAGTTTAGGAGTTAGTATGAATATGATATTGAATTGATTGATGTGGATCGAAAGCATAAGAAGCAGTGGCCGAGATGGCTGCTGATTTTCATAATCAATAATAATTTTGGTGGGTTTCTTTTGTTTAGTGGAAGTGGGAGGAATTTGGATTTGCTTCAACTCCATGTTGATCAAATTAAAGGGGTATGAGGTATGAGTATGAAGTCTGCAGGTAGCTACAGCGAGCTGAGTGGTGTTTTTGAGTGCAGTGGATGAATTTAATTTCTTCCCCAAGCAACGCTAATATTTATAGAAGATAATTTAACTGATTCCGTGCTTTCTGTGGTTGTACTTTCTCGGAAATATGATTAAATAGAGACTGATAGAGACCAAAGTGTGAAAATATTAAGTTGTGTCAAAATTATAAAAATTAAAAATTATATAAAATTTTGAAGGGATAAAACAAGATGATCAAGATCAAAGTGATACTTGTCACCATCTCAGCACAGCAGTTGGAAGTTAGTTGGCTACTAACCTCCTTTCCCTCCCTTTTCTGTTGATGTATATAAACCAGCTTGTAACCAGTTTTGAAGGAATGAAACAGTATTTTTCTTCTTCCTTTTCTTCTGTTGAGTGCTCTCTTTAGTTCGTAAAATGGTATCAGAGCATCATAATTGAGAGCTTCGATCAGTTATCAATGGCGTCCTGGCCTCCTCTGAACAATCGATCGGTTCTTGCTGATGGTATGACTACAGGACCATCTGCTCCGGTGAATGGCAACACCAATGCAACACAGACTGGTCACATTCCTTCCACCCCTGTTATCGGTTCAAGCAACAATGAGGTAACTTTTGATCCTCAATCGCAATCCAACCCCTATTTTCTTCACATCAGTGAGAATCCAGCACTTGAACTGGTTTCCACCCCCCTTGATGGTGCGAATTACCATTCTTGGGCTAGGGCAATGACCATGGCCTTGTTGTGCAAAAACAAGGTCCCATTCATCAATGGAAGTATTCTAAAACCTTCCACAGAAAACCTAGATAGATATCTCACCTGGGAAAGATGCAACAATGTAGTGTCCACTTGGATTGTGCGCACCCTTTCACCAACAATTGCACGCAGTGTGCTGTGGATTGATACTGCATATGGTATCTGGAATGACCTAAGAAGGAGATTTAGTCAGCAAGATTTGTTTCGAATTGCTGAAATTAAGTGTGAGATCTATCAAACCAAGCAGAATGATGATTCCTTGAACGAGTATTTCACCAGGCAGAAGTTGCTATGGGATGAATTGGGTATTCTTAGACCCCAGCTGAGCTGCCTTTGCAGCCCAAAATGTGAGTGTGGAAAGAGAATTGATGAACTTAATGAACAAGCAGAGAAGGACAAGCTGTCTATCTTTCTAATTGGCCTACATGAGAAGTATACAGGGGCTAGAAATCAAATCATGTTGATGAGGCCCTTACCTGATGTTAATGAAGCATATTCTATGATTGCCCAGCAAGAGAGACAATTCCACATGGCCAGCAATGGTTTTGGAGGCCAAATATATCAAGCAGGAGAAAATAATGTTGCTGGCAGCACTCTCTTTGCTAGATCAGAAGGCAATTACCAACAAGGGTTCAAGAAAGCTAATCACAAGAAGCCAGTGTGTACTTACTGTGGTTATACAGGCCATACTCATGATAAGTGTTACAAAAAGCATGGGTATCCCCTAGGGTGGAAATCAAGGCCAAGAAGTCAGTCTGTTAATCAAACTCAAGGTCCTCTTGCAGCACATCAACAATACAATCCTGAAGATAATAAGTCCTTTTCCCAAGATGATTTCAGAAGGTTCATGGAGTTCATGCATGCTAAGAAATCAGATGGGGATTGCTTGAATTCACCTTTTGATCACCAGCAGACTTCACAGGCCTTGGCCAATACTGTGGCAGTAGATTTCCAAAAGGAAGGTATGTCTCCTTCAATCAATGCTGTTAGATCAAATAAGACTGATTGGATCATTGATAGTGGTGCCACACACCACATTGTGTGTGATTTAAAGATGTTGAAAAATCAGGAAAAGGCTCACAACATGTATGTTAATATGCCAAATGGCCAACAAGCTGCTATTCAATTCACAGGGACAGTTTGCTTATCTGAAAGTCTTGTGTTGCATAATGCTCTTTACATCCCTGAGTTTCACTATAACTTGATCTCAGTTGGTGCCTTCATAAAAGATTCAAGTTATGTTGCAAAGATGTACTCTGACCAGTGTATTATACAGGATGCTTCTCATGGGAGAATGATTGGAAGGGCTGAGCTGGTGAATGGCTTGTATTACCTAGCTTTTCCTTGTTTTACACATCCTGTATGTAGTTCTATTTCTGTTGAAAACAAATGTATTCTTTGGCACACCAGATTGGGGCATGCCTCACATTCAAAAATACAGTTCTTGGAAAAACTAGAGCCAATGATTCATTCTAATAAAAATTTGATTTGTGATAGCTGTCACTTTGCCAAACAAAAGAGAGTTCCCTTTCAGATCAGTGCTTCTTTATCATCTAACTGTTTTGACTTGTTGCACATGTACATATGGGGACCATACAGAGTAGAAACTGTCCATGGTCACAGGTACTTCTTGACAATCTTGGATGATCATAGCAGAGCTGTATGGGTGTTCTTGATGAAAGCCAAGTCAGAAGTCAGAAATTTGATTATTGAATTCTGCAATCTTGTTGGAAATCAGTTTGGAGCAGCTATAAAGTGTATAAGGACTGATAATGGCCCTGAGTTTAATATGGTAGAACTGTTCAGACAAAGAGGGATCATACACCAAACCTCTTGCACACATACACCTCAACAAAATGGCAGAGTAGAAAGGAAACATGGGCACCTATTATCTACTGCTAGGGCTTTAAAGTTCCAAGCAAATTTACCTGACAAATTCTGGGGTGAGTGTGTGTTGCATGCTGCATATCTGATTAACAGGCTTCCATCAGTTGCTATCAACAATCAAATCCCATACCAGGTTTTACTCAAAAGAACTCCTTCATACCAACACCTAAGAGTGTTTGGTTGCTTAGCATATGCAACTACTGTTGGACCTAAGTCAAAGTTGGATGCTAGGGCCAAGAAATGCATCTTCCTAGGATATGCTAGTGCCACAAAAGGTTATAAAGTCTTTGATCTTGCCTCAAAGGAGTTATTTATATCCAGAGATGTGATGTTCCATGAGCTAGTGTTTCCTTTCCAACAGTCCAACACACCAGAAGCTGGTCATGGGATCATACTACCATCCAAGACTCCCATATTTCCTGAGGATCATGGTGATCTTCAAGCTCAGCAACAAGAACCTTTGCATCAGGATATAAGTGCAGAAAATGAGAATGTTATCTCTCAACAGCATGGCACACCTGAACAAACACAAGGTGATTCAGATAGTCCAGCCAGCAGTAGTGGTGAGGAGCTTTGGCAACCTCCCCAGGTTATCACTACTGAGTAGCAACCTAGTGTTGTTCAGCAAGATACCAGAAGATCCACCAGGAATAGACAGGTCCCTACCTATCTACATGACTACATCTGTCAAAATTCTAAGTTACATACTTCCCCTCATCAAATGTGTAAAGTGGTGGATTACAATGGCCTAACTCCATCTTTCCAGTCCTTTGCTTTGAGCATATCCTGCCAATCTGAGCCTAAGAACTATTATGAAGCTGCTCAGCAAGAAAGATGGAGGTCTGCAATGCAAGAAGAGATAAGAGCCCTTGAAAACAACAACACTTGGCAGATGATGGACTTACCACCCTCTAAGAAGGCCATTGGCTGCAAATGGGTGTATAAAATCAAATACAAAGCTGATGGAAGCATAGAAAGGTACAAAGCTAGACTAGTAGCAAAAGGGTACAATCAAACCCTTGGGATTGATTATTTAGACACTTTCAGCCCTGTTGTCAAGATGACCACTATCAGAACTCTCCTAGCAGTGGCAGCAGCAAAGAATTGGCATTTGCACCAGATGGATGTGTATAATGCTTTCCTAAATGGTGATTTGGATGAAGAAGTCTACATGCAGCCACCTCTTGGTTTCTCTGGAGGCAGTAAAGGGCAAGTGTGCAAGTTGATTAAGTCCCTATATGGCTTGAAACAAGCTAGTAGGCAGTGGAATACAAAGTTGACTATTGCATTGAAATAGATGGGATTCAAACAAGCAGTTCCTGACAGTTCTTTATTCATCAGGGGCAAGAATAGGTCCTTGGTGGCCTTATTGGTCTATGTAGATGACATTGTCCTTGCAAGTGAAAGCCTGGAAATCATACAAGATGTCAAGAAGCAGCTAAGCACAAGTTTTCTACTCAAAGATCTAGGCCCTTTAAGATACTTTCTTGGGCTAGAAGTGGCTAGACACAAAAAGGGCATTGCAGTATGCCAAAGGAAGTATGCAATTGAATTACTTGAAGATATAGGCTTTACAAATGCTAAGCCTGTGTTCAGTCCCACAGTTCCTTCTCACAAATTGAGCAAGAATGAAGGAGAATTTCTTCAAGATAGTAGCCAATACAGGAGAATTGTTGGTAAACTTCTTTACTTAACAATAACAAGACCTGACATTGCTTTTGCTACTCAGCAGTACAGTTGTCCCAGTTTCTTGACAAGCCTACAGATATACACTTGCAAGCAGCACATAGAGTCCTCAGATATATCAAAGCTGCTTCTGGGCAAGGTTTATTTTTCCCATCCACATCTAATCTACACCTTAAGGCCTACTCAGACTCAGATTGGGGAGCTTGTGTAGATACAAGGAGATCTGTTACTGGATTCTGCATTTTTCTTGGAGATGCCTTAATCTCATGGAAATCTAAGAAACAACCCACTGTCTCCAAATCATCCTCAGAGGCAGAGTATAGGGCTTTAGCAACCACAAGCTATGAAATTCAGTGGTTGATATATTTGCTAGCAGAGTTTGGAGTGGTTCACAGTGAAGCAGTGGCTATATATTGTGATAGCAAATCAGCTGTGGCTATTGCAGAGAATCCTGTGTTTCATGAAAGAACTAAACATATAGAGTTGGACTGTCATCTTATTAGAGAAAAGCTACATAAAGGACTCATCAGGCTGTTCCACATTCCATCTGAGAAGCAGCTAGCAGACCCCTTTACTAAGACACACTGCCCTACATCCTTTCAGCATTATATCTCCAAGCTTGGATTAATGAATCTATATAATCCAGCTTGCGGGGGGATTTTAAGGGATAAAACAAGATGATCAAGATCAAAGTGACACTTGTCACCATCTCAGCACAGCAGTTAGAAGTTAGTTGGCTACTAACCTCCTTTCCCTCCCTTTTCTGTTGATGTATATAAACCAGCTTGTAACCAGTTTTGAAGGAATGAAACAGTATTTTTCTTCTTCCTTTTCTTCTTCTGTTGAGTTCTCTCTTTAGTTCGTAAAAAAAAAATCAATGTCAATCAATATCAATATCTATACTATTTATACTATATATTGTTTTCTACTTTACTATTCGTATTATAATTCTACATTAAAATTTATATTCTTTTTTTTTTGAAAGGAATTAAAATTCCTATTCTAATACAATTCCTAATAGTATATTCTTTCCTATATTATATATAAAAACAAAATCCTAAACTTTAACTTCCCATCCAAAATCTTCAAATTTTAATATATTATTTCTTATTCGTACTATAATTGTACATTAAAATTCCTATTCTAAAACAATTCCTAATAGAATATATTTTTTCTTACTTTTCTATTCCTACTATAATTCTACATTAAAATTCCTATTTGTAATACAATAGGACAATATTAACCTGAGCAATTGAAGCTTGAGCAGTATAAAAGAGGGCGATTCTAAACAAGAAGAATCATCAATTCACCCAGGAGCAATTCTAGTAGGTACGACTGAGTTTGGTTTTCCGGCAGCTATTTTCTTACGATCGACAGTTTTTTCGGCGGTGCAAATTTTCTACGACAGTTGCTGCAATTAATTTGTTCGGTAACAAATTCCCTTTGCCGCAATTCAATTTCTCCTTTTTGGGGCGGTGATTAAGTATTCCAGCGAAGCAGCTCAGTAATTTCCGTAGCAACTTATCTCAATAGCAACATTCTGGTTTCTTCTCTAATTCTTAATTTATTATTATTTTGGTTGATGACGGATATATTGGGAATCGGCCCGAACCGACCCGAGGGCGCGAAGCAAGAACGGGTCCCGGGGCGGCGCCACATACCCGCCCCGGCCGAGGCCTCGCCACGTGGCCCCCGCACGGGCCACGTTGGAGGCCAGGCCGGCCTCTCCAGGAGGCCGGGCCGACCTCCACATGGGCCCGGCCCAGGCCCATGATGAGCTCGACCTGGCCCCCGCAGCGCGGCTCGGTCGCGAGACCGGGCGCAGTCAACTCGGATCCAACCACCCCCCGCCTTAGGGGGTGGCGGTTAGGGGTGGGGGTTGTATAAAAACCCCCACCTTGTCTCATTAAGGCATGCTATCTACGATCTACTGTTCTTACATACTCTGTCCTGAAATACCACTGTAATAGCCAATTCTACGGCATTTAATACAATCTACGGTCTCACGGCCTTTGCTATAACGTTCGTATTACTTATTTATTATCCGTATTCTTATTCGGGTTAATTAAGTCGGACCCCCCGTTTAATTAATTCCATCAGTTGCATTGTATGATGTGTTGCTATTTGGAGAATGGATTACTGCAATTAATTATGATGTTTAGTTGGTAATTTTAAAGCCTTTAAGTATTGTGTTTGTCCCCTTTGAGCTGCTGTTAGTTGTGAAGTTGTAAACAGGCTATGAAACAATCGTTAAAACTTAAAAGTTCATGTTCCGGGCTTTTCCAATTTAATTGTTAATTTGGTATTCTGGTTTTTTGTAATTTTTCTGTTTATTTTCTTGAATTTTGATTCAATTACTTTGCATTTGAGTTTATACTGATCTTTGTTATTCGTTTTTAGCACTTTAAATTGTTAAGTTAACTGTTTTAATTTCAAGTTTATAAATTACATTGTATCAATTCCTTGTGGGATTGATCTTTGCTTTGCGCGCTAAACTATAATTGACTCGTGCACTTGCGATGACGTATTAAAATTGTCCGCTATCCAAAAATCGTAAAAGTATCAAAGATAATTTAAGTACTAAGTGGCAAACCATTATCAAAACAATATATCAAAGATAATTTAAGTAGGTATAAACTTACATGACAATCTCTAACTCTGGAATTTAGTATTATAATGTTGGTGACCTTCCTTTTCGTCCACCTGCAATAGGTAATTCAATAACAAATTATACCTTAGTAAATAGATATGTAAGTATTATGGATTTCCAAGCTAAAAAAAAAAAGTATTCGCAAATATCAAACTTTGACAACTTAAACAACAATAACAAAAAAAAAAAAAAAAAAAAAAAAAAAACTTGCGAAGTTAAATTCCTTTGCTAACATAATGCAATAAATGTAAATAAATTTTCAACTAACACTATGAAATGAGGATAAAAAATAAAAATAAAAATAAATATCTCCAATAAGACATTTTAAGTTTTGGGAGTCATTCCTATACCGCTACCAAATCTCAAATTATAATTGTAATAAGGTGCAAACGTACAAATAAGTTAAACAGTTAATAAGTACAAATCACGTTGAATTTGTAACATTACTTGACTTCAAATGTTGAAAATAAAAATCCCTACTCCTACTATTTGTACCGTACGCAGTGGACCAGCTAGCATTGAGGACTTGGGTATAATAATCAGAACTAGGAATAGCAATCCTTGGGATCATTAGAAGTATGAAGTTTCAATGAAAAATTAACTTAACTAATAATTGATGCACATTAAAAGATTTTCAGTTTAACTAAATAAAAGTATATTACAAAAGCAGTGACTATCTTAACAAGTGACACAATTTCAATGTATATACAATCAAACTGTAAAACACAATTTGAATTATGCACATTAACATAATAAATGGACAGAACTTTTAGTAACATAATAACGTAATTTTATATTTTTTATACTATTATTTAAAACAAAATCTCATTTACTTGATTTCCTGCCCAAATAATAGTAAATAGTAAAGGTAATTTAAAAAAAGGAACGAAAATTTAAAAAAGAACAAAAATATTTCACAATAATATTCTACATCATCAATTAAAAATGGAATGAAAATTAGGTAAATTAGAAAAGAAAATGAATATTAATAATTGACTGAAAATTAAAAATGAAAAAAAAAGGAATAAAAGCTAGGTTAATTGAAAAAGGAAATGAATATTAAGAATTGACTGAAAGTTTTTTTTTTTTTTTTTCTAAAAGCAAATTAAGAATTGACTGAAAACAAAAAATGATCCATAATTGACTAAAATGGAAAAGGAAATGGTCAGATCATTGCATTTTTAATTTTTCACAATAATATTACATAGTATAATAAATCAAATCAAAATTATATCATAAATCTTTCAAAATTTTAAATAATGGAACGAAAATTAAAAATGGAACAAAAATATTTCAACAATAATGTTCTACATCATCAAGTAAAGGTAAATTAAAAATGGATAGAAAATATTTCAATAATAATATTCTACATCATCAATAGTAAAGACATATTTTAAACAATAGTAAATATAAATTTAAAATGGAACGAAAATTAAAAATGGAACAGAAAATATTTCAATAATAATATTATACATAACCAATTAAAAATGGACCAGAAATTAGGTAAAAATATCACAACATCTGATATTCTAATTGACTAATTGACTGAAAATAAAAAAGAATAATTGGATGAAAATGAATATGATATTACTAATTCGCTAAAAATATAAAAGAAAATAAATATTAATAATTGGCTGCAAATAAAAAATGATCCATAATTAACTAAAATGAAAAAAAGAAATGGTAAGATCATTGCATTTTAATTAAAAATGGAAAGGAAATCAAAGAAGAATGAGTGAAAGTGAGGAGACAAGATCCGAGATGGCCAATTTTCAATCATTATTGTGTGGACCATGGTCCACACAAGTTGTGTGGTCCATATTTTGTGTATTGTAAAATAATGTACATTGTATTCAGGGGATGTACATTATTTTCGTTCTGAGTGTACATTATATTGTATAATGTACATTCAGTACATAAATAATGTACATTTAGTATATTAAAAATGTACTTTTTGTTATGGTCCACATAACATTGTATGGACCATGGTCCACACAATAATTTGCCGCCAATTTTTTCAAGGAACGAAATGCAATCGTGAAGAGAGCAAACGATATATCCAATCTTTCCGTCGCAAATGTTGTTATCATCATATGTATGTATCTCGCTCCATTTGATATTGTGGATCAAGATCCACTTTGATTTAAAACTATGTCGTTTTGTAACTTTTAGAAGTGGTGCATTTTTTCATCCAATCATAAATGACGACTTTGGTAATGCAAGTTCAAAAACCAAATACTACAAGGTAGGTCCATATATACTAAAAGCTTCCCAATTTCAACCAAATATCTATTAAAATTATACTATAATCATTTTTTTTGAAAAACCAATCTGCAGATTGTATTAATGAATCAAAGCTGTAATAGCGTCAGGGGGATAGAATCCTAATACATAGCATGATCCTGAGTAAAAGCTAGGGAAGCTAAAGTGTGAGCATGTAAATTAACCTGTCTAGGGACATAATTTATCGAAATACGACTAAATAAAGACATAACTGTTCTGCATTGGTCAATCGTGACCCCAACATAAGAATGGATCGGTGAGTGTTGCTGCTGCAAAGTAGTACGTAGTACCATGCAATCCGTGAGCAGACATACTAATGTGACGTTCCTTCCTAGTAGCCAAGATATCGCCTCCTTATATGTCTGTGCCTCCGCCATAAGCGGTGAGAAACAAAACGGCAATTTGCCATTTTTTGTCACTATGAAAGAGCCCTCTGGTGAAATTAGCACAATGCCGTACGTGGCCTCCCTAGTGTCCTGTCGAAAACCCGCGTCCACATAGCACCTGAGACTGCCATGTGTATCCGTTCCGGTGGGTGGTGCCGGAGCCGGCGGTGCCTGGCGGTGTTGCGCAGCGCCGTACGCTTGTAAGGACGCGACAACCGCTCTCCAGATGTCGGCTGGCCGCATCATAGATCCCTTCCACACGGATGAGTTGCGGCTCCTCCAAATATGGTACAGCACGACCACCAACAGTCGGGTTTGCTCCCCCGTTAAGACCGCCAAAGCCCCCATTAACCATGTTGAAAAGGAATCTGTAGCAATATTTGTGATAGGCAATTGTGTTATATTCCAAACAAGTGTAGAATATTCACAGAACACTAAAGCATGTAACACATCTTCATGATCTAAAGCACACATTGGGCATGTTGGGTCCACCTCTACCCTCTTTATAATCAAATTAGTGGTAGTGTGTAGAATATCACATATGACTCTCCACAAAAACGTCTTCCACTTGGGTGGAACCTTTAATTTCCACATCAAAGCCCATTTATCAAAAGCAGCTGGGTTATTCTCATAATCCCCAACAATACACCTATAGGCGTTCTTCACTGTGTAAGTCCCTTTTGGGTCACCCATCCAATATCATGAGTCATCGTAGTCAGGGCTAATAGAGATCATACTTATCCGGTTCACATCCTCAGGAATAAACAGGTCAGATAGAATATGTGGATCCAATGTGTTTGTTTGTGAATCAATTAAACCTGCCACTCGTGCTTCTCTTAACTCTTCTGGCATATCCATTTGAACCAAGGGGATAAGATTATCTGGTAACCAAGGATGTCCCCATATTAGAGTCGTCTGTCCATTTCCAATTCTTCTTCGCACCCTAGAGATTACCATTGCATATGTCACCATAATACTCCTGCAACAGAAACTTGGGCAATTCCCAATAGTAGCATCAACAAAACTAGTTGTGGGGTAATATCTTGCCTTATAAATTTTTGCGGGGGTTAGTTAGAAAACGCCATGCCTATTTTCCTAGCATAGCAAGATTAAAAGCTCTCAGCTCTTTAAAGCCCAAACCACCAAATTTCTTTGGGACACACAATCTATCCCAAGCCTCCCACTGTATTCCTCTTTCCCTGCCACTCCCCCACCAGAATTTATTCATAGTTCGCTCAATTGACTGACACACATTCTCAGGTAACAAAAAAACGCTCATAGAAAAGGTAGGCATAGATTGCGCTACACTTTTTAACAACACTTCTTTACCAGCCTGAGATACCAACTTTTTATTCCACGAACCAATTCTTTGCCTGATTTTTTTCCTCCACATAAGGAAAAACAGCCCTCTTATTCCTTCCCACAAAAGATGGTAGACCCAGATATTTTCCAAAATTGGCTGCTTGTTCGACTTCAAGACAGCTCGCTACTTGCATCTTGTGACCCTTATCGGTATGTAGGCTAAAACTGATATTGGACTTATTATAATTCACCACCTGGCCAGACAATTTTTCATACCTTGCTAGGCATTGCTTGATAACACCAGCTTCTTGGATATTCGCTTTGAAAAATAGGAGGCTTTCGTCTGCAAAAAATAGATGTGATACGGGGAGTGCCCCTTTAGCTACTCTATACCCATGTATTGATCCTGCCATTTGTTCATACTGTAATATCATTGAAAGGGCTTCCGCACAAATAATAAACAAATAAAGGGAAAGAGGATCCCCAGCCTGAGCCCCCGGGTCGGTTTCACACGCCCCCTTGCCACACCATTCACCATTATAGTATAATCAAGGTCTTCATGTAAGATTTTCCCTATAATATATATTATATATTATATATTAAGGCCTTAATTAAGTGGTGCAAGTTAACTAGGCTTATTAAGTGGTCTGGTTGGACTTAATAACTAGTCGTTGTTAGTTAACCAAACTCTGTGCCTAATATAATCATATCCTGGATTGATGGGATACAGGATGTTGGATTAGATAGCACATTCAGTTACGGTACTCAGACTGCTCAGTAGATACCAATACACCATCTAGGGTTCTGAGTCAGGTCTGAGGAAAAACATGGCTAACGGTCTACCGTTAAGAGACAACACAACAGGAACATCAACTATGACTGGAGATCTACATGGCTACGCTTCCGCTATCATACGAGGTCAGGTTTCTTGTATACTATGATTTATTATAGTTAGACTATTTTAGATCTAACATTTGGTATCATAGCCTTTATAATCTCTGCCTGGTTGATTGTTTTGCCTAAAACAATATTCAGTTTTCATATTCATTTCTTGTATATTAATTCTTTGAAATATACATACAACATATATCTATTTAGTGAAGATATAATTAAGCAATTTAGTGTGTATGTGTTGGGTGAATTAATTACACTTGATTCTGCCAAAAATTAATTTTTGGCATTAAGCACAATTTTAATTCCTTTTGGTTTTTGGAATTATTTGTTGTGATTTTGTTTGGGATTCACGGAAAATTATTGGAGATTTTTTTTTTTGGCGAATGGATGGTTACAGTTAAACAAAAAAGAAAAAAAAAAGAAAAAAGAAGGAATGGTAATACACGCAACATTAAGATATGTTTGTGTGATTAAGGTAATTACAATTATCATTTATATTTATTTACCATATAAATATTTGCCTTATTAATAATTACATATTAATTTGGTAAATGCTAATTATTTAGTTTATTATTATCATATTTATATTACCTAATTTAATAATGTATATTATTTTGGCAAATGGTAAATATATGGTAATTGTTTGTTTTTGGATAATGCCTTTTAGTTAGGGATGTCAATGGGTCGGGTGTGGGTCGGAGAGGGCTACATCCATCACTCGACTCACCTTATATTTTCTCCACCCACCCCCACCTCCAACCCGCATCGGGTGGACTTTTTCAGAACCCACCCCACCCCCACCGGGTGCGGGTGCCCACTACGGGTACCCACCACTTATCATCTTATTATGTTTTTCAAAAAATAATATTTAAATTATTTACACATAATAAAAAAAATAAAATCCATTAGTGATACTAAAACATAAATAATGGAAATATTTAAATATAAAAACTAAATTGTTAATTTTTAAAAATAAACTTAGTAGTTTTGATATAAAAAATAGTAAAAAGATACACTGAGTTATATAAACTATTATAAATAACTACATACTAGTATTTATTTTACTATTATACATATATACACACACACATGGTGGGTCGGGTGGGGTTCTAGGCGGGTCTTGTACATAGAACCCGAATCCAACCCGACCCACCGCGGGTTTTCTTTTTTAAGACCCACCCCCGACCCACCACCCACCATCACCCAAAAAAACCCGATCCATGCGGGGTGGATTCGGGTGTATATCCACGGGTCGGATTGAAATTGCCATCCCTACTTTTAGTTTCCTCTTATTTTGATATTGAATTCATTATTAAATTATTATTCATTTTGAGCAAATATTAAGCTTTTATTTGCTGTTTGAATTTTAATTTAATATTAATGTGCATATTAAATTGCCTCAAGTATTGCAATTTATTTAGAATATATGGGTTAATAATATTTTAATATGCAAATCCAAGCATGTTATGTATATTCATAAATTATTGTTATAATTATACATTCATAATATCATGCATTAAGGTTGGATTTAGCATATTATTTAATCATAAATTCATTTTTAAATATCATTCAATTTTGGATCCTTAGGTCAATTTTAGATATTATGACCTACTAAAGTAGCTTGTTTTGGTTTCCCCTTAATTTTTGAGCACATTCTAGTTTTATGTCTTTGGGACTTTAGAACCTATTTTTGAACAAGCTATTTGGGACCTATCTTGGGTCATTAAAGTATGGATCCCATTATTTTGATTGATATTTAAATAATAATTGTAGCTCTTTTTATAACATGTTTATTATGTTTTAATTATTACTAACTACCATTTTTGGTATTCATCATTGGTAATAATATTAAGTTTTGGGTCTACTTCAGTATTAGACCATTTTTTATTCATGTTATAATTCACTTGGGTCATTGGGGGTTATGTGCCTAATTTGAGTGATTAAGTGCTATAATTATTGTTTTGGCCTGTTTAGAGACATTAAGGATTTAATTGTTTTTTTGGCCATTAAGAAGTACAACTATTGTTTAAGTTGATTAAATTTTTAATCTATCAATAGTTTTTAGGGCCTTAATAATAATATTAAGTCTTTAATTTATGGCAAAAGCAATATAGTTGGTATATTGTCTATATAATGGTAATTTGGTTATTACCTTAACTTTAGTCTCCCTAAGTATCATAATAGTCATGGTTAATTATTATGTGGTAAAATTGAGATTAGTATTTGGCATCCCTTAATTACAGTTTTGCCTTTATTGTAATTATTATTAATTAGCATTATTAATTACTGTTATTAAGTTTAGGGGTTAATATCATTTTATTACTTTTCATAATAATTATCATTTAATGGTAATCTGCTATATTTGGTACATTGGCATGATTACCACTTCATTTTACATGACTATTAATGTTGGTAATTAAGTCCTACCAATAATTTTTTTTTTTTTAAATGTACCATTGGACGCTGCATCGAGGCTACTGACACCGACAATGAAGATGGGAGAATTCTGGAGTTTTTCTTCAGGTCATCATCGTTGTTAGCGCAATGGAGAGATGCAATTTTCATCATTAAGGTTAGCCATTAATTATCTTTTATGCTTGTTATTGATAATTAGTGCTACAGTTACGGTTAACCGCTAATTTGGACTAGTCACATTTTATCTTTAGAAAATGAAAACATTTAAAGGTGCATCACCATACTTTAATTTGTCGTTATTATTAATGTTAATAGTGATTATAATGTTACTTATTACTATTAATAATTAATGATTAATGATGACATTAGTATTTTTATGGTATTCAGATGTGTACCTTGAACTGTTTCCAAATAAATTTATGTGACAATACTCCAGTTCAGAAAATAATTTTCTGGACATTAATATTTTTCGGATTTCAAATTTTATTAAGTTTTCAAAATTTTATCCGAAAACATTTATAAGTGTTTGTGGTTTTGACCATTGTTTTTTCATATTTAGTCTCCTACTTAATGTGATAATATTATTATGACTATTTATTGCTATTTTGGTTATTTGCAATTTTGCCATTAATAATAATAATATTATCAACTGGGTTATGGAGAGTGATTTTGAATCAATTTACTAATCTTGGAAAAACATATTTTATAGGCAAATGACTTTTGCCATTAATTCCATAATTCATTTAGTTTTGGAATTATGATTCTAGTTCTGATTGCTCATGTTTGGTTAAGTATGAATAAATGAATATTTTGTTTAAATTCATATCCTTTAGTTGGTTCATTCTCTTTAGATTGTTTTACGCATTCGATCACATTAAGTGCATAATATTAAGTTTAATTATGTAATTAGGGTTTATGAGATTTTAATTTACAAATGCTAGCATATCCTTTTGGTTTGATATTGTTTTAATTTGTAAATTCAGTTATTTCTTATAAATTTGATCTTTATGCATTAAAACATTTTCCAATGGGCTTACAGTTTAATTTTTTTTAAAGTATATATTCAGTACATTATTATTCAA